TGAGAGAAACGGAAGTTGAAACGAGAGAGAGGAAATGACAAGGGGTCGGGATTTGATAAATGACAAGGGGTCGGGTGGAATTTGAAATCAGTTGTTTTGGGCTTTCAAATTCCTTTCTGTTAAATCAATTGATTCAAAATCTTGGCTCAAATCAGAACCCAAACTAGATATTTGGATTTCAAATACCCTGGATTTTAAATTCAGGACCCAAATCACAGTTCCCAAACACAGCTAGGAATTTCAGTTAACGAGGTTATGTATAATAGTACAAATTTTAGTACTTTCTATCATAAAAATTCATTAAAATAATTTTTGGTGAATTTTTCAATAAATAGTATGTTTAGAATATTATCATTTTAATAAAAGACATCCACAAAGTAAATCGGCAGCATAGCGCGGGTATAACACTAGTGATCTTTCTAAGTAGCACTTAACTTAATATTTTAGTTCATTAATAGTTGTAGTTATTATTTTCGGTCATTTCAGTTTTTGCCAAAAAAAATACAGACTCTCGTTTTTGCCTTTGACAAAATAGCGCTCTTGGTTATGTTAAAAGGGACGGAATGATCTTGACAACTCCATAGACTCTAAATTAGAGGTAGGCGTGAGCCGGGCCGGTTCAGGTCCTTGACCCGACCCATCAGGTTCAAGGCCGAGCTAGGTCTAACCCGCCCAGGTCAGAGTGGGTCAGACTTGGGTTTGGGATTAGTCCCGACCCGGCCCACGACCTGCTTAGGGTTGGGTCAGGTCGAGCCCGACCCACAATCCACAGGTTGGGGTACAAAACGGTTCGGATTTATCCGGATCGACCGCAACCATATTCGTATAAAAAGTGGATATGGTAGGGGAAAATTAAAATCAGCCGGATATAGTTTCAGATCCAGTTATGGTTTTGATTTTTCATCCGTATATGGTTTTAGTGTCGAAATTGCGAATATGGTTCGGATATCCTGATGTTTGAAATGTGCTAGGTAACTTAGTTGCTAATACTTACTTTTGGTTGGGTCTATAACGTATACTTAAGTTATCCGCAACCCGACCCGAATTAAAAGCCCAGATCGAGAGCAAAACTTTTTTTCATTTTTCGCGATCTCTATTTTTGACCTACTTGGCAATTCATCCAGGTTCGTCTTCCGCCTCCGTCTTCAAGCTCCTCCACCTCTGCCTTCAAGCTCATCAAGCCTTAGCCTCCGACTTCAAGCCTCGCCCTCTGCTGCTCTGCGCCATGTTGGTCGATCTCAAGAACTCTGACTCGTCCTCTTCTTAATCGACGACCATCAACGCCGATTTCATCATCTCTTAAGATTCTCCTCCTCAATTTCGTCTATCGCTAAGATGAACTCAAAACCCCCTGTTGATGCCCTAAGTTTTTGTTTGATAAAAGTTCTAATTTCTAGCCCTTTGTTGACTGAAGTGAAAAGTCCTAATTTATTTGATAAAAAGCCCTAATTGTTTTTAGTTGCATTTTTTATTATGATTGTAATTTGTATCATTATATTATTGTTTTCTTTTTGTTTGATTAAGTTTATAAATTTAATTCATTGAATTGAATAGATGCCCAGGTACAGTACGAGATGACGTGAGATATGGACCTCAAGTAAGGATTCACGGCTCATATCCAAGTGAAAGAACTCATAAAATTAGGATTAAGTGCAAAGCATATTAAGTTACTTTATGCAAGGATGCATAAGAACACTCGGGTACTTGTATTAAAGATAAAAGTGAGGTTGAAGAGTTCATAGCAATTTTTTAAGATTGGTCTACACGAGGACTAATATTTATTTCTATGAGATGACAATTTCTTTATGCTTGAATAAACTTATCTTGATTATGTTTAGGGGCTGTTTGGTTCGTTTCCTTGATATAAAGAAATGCAATTCTATGTAAAGAAACACAAGTTTTGAGTTTTCCAAACTTTTTCAAGAAATAGATTGTTTTGCTTTGGTTCGCACATAAAAAATGGGTGGGAAACCAATGTATTTATTTTTCTTGTGTTTGGTTCGCATAGAAAAAAAAGAAAAACTTTTGTAAACAAAGCAGAGAAGGAAAAAAAATTTGACGTGGCAGAGTTTTCATCAATTTCACTTGGTTGGGGAAGGAAATCGGAGAGGAAAAAAATCTTAGTTGGCGGCGATTTCAGCAGAGTTTTCCCTCTTCCATTCGAGCGAACCAAAGCGGCACAAAGAAATGGACGGAAACAAAAAAGCTGACGTGGAGGGCTAAAAATCTGACGTGGAGGGGTTTTCTGAGTTTTCCACCCCTTATAATAGCGAACCAAACAGCCCCTTAATAGATGAATTCTTTTTTAGTTATATTTAGTTTGTGAAATATATAATCATATGTATTTTTTTTGTCATATTCGATCCCTATACATTTTCCAAATATCTGATTAATATTTGTATCGTATTTGTATCCACTTCTCTAATATCTGAAGTGTATCCATTTCCGTTTAGTGTAGATATGGTCATGTTTTTTCTTACTAATGAATATATGTACCCGTATTCGTATCTGTTTTTAAAAAGCGGATATGGATATAGTAAGTATCATGTCGGAACCATATCCAAATATC